CACGGCCGCGTCCCCGCGCCGGGGCCGAGGTGCCAATTGGGTTCTACAGGAAATAAACATCGCCTCCCGACGCGCACCGGCCACGCGCGGTTATGTCCTGAGTGCGCAGCCTGACACCGCAGGGCGAGCAAGGCTAGCAATCTGCAGAAATAAAAAAATGGATTTTTCAAAATTAAAAAAATCCACGCTTTTAACTTGCCGACACCGGGGACTTCTGGGAGGGCTGTGGGACCTTCTGCTGGGTCAGTGCCTCCGAAAATGCGCCCCTCTTTATTTAGGGCCTTTATGAGGGGCTTTGGGAACTGGCAGCGGACATGGGGGGGATGCGGCTCTGCAAGGTGCCCGCCACCCGTTCCAAGTGGCGCTTTCTCTGTCCTGAGGATGGTGTGTAGGCTAACAGAAGACAGAACCCCTCTTTCCTCCACTCAGCCAGGCCCTTTCATGCCGCCAATATCCTCGACATTCTGCTACTTAATTATGGTAATTAATTTGGGTAAAGTTTTCGATAAAAACAATGTTCACACTGATTTGACAATTTGCATAGCTAATTAAGTCATTAGCAAAAACCTGCTGATTGCCAACAAGCCCTGAATTTACCATCTGTTATTTCATGGTGCCTGTCACCTATCCCCACACAGGCAACCCTGCCACCAATCTGGGCGGTGAAGAGAACCGGCCTGTCCAGCTGGTGCGGTAAAAAGGAAGATGAAGAGCTAATTATAATTACGCTGATGAAGCTGGTAGTTGTCAGAAATGGACTTGTGAAAGAAGAATCCATCTAATCCCTCCTTTAAGTACACATCGTCCCTCCTTGCAAACAAGCAGGCCACCTACTGGAGTGTCCTGGGGGCCACCGCTTGAGAGGCACGAGTGTGGGGCAGAAGGACAGTATACACCGGTGGCACAGCTCCAGCCTCTTTGCTCAAAGGGGACTCTATGGGGTTGCTGGGTGACCTGGGCATGGGACAGGATACCTGTCAGGTGGAGGCTGATGGGCAGGCTCTGAGCAATAGTCTCCTTAAGAGCGCAGCGACTCCAGGAGAGTGCCAGCTGCTCTCAGCTTCCGAGAGGCCGGGCAAGGCAGGACCCGGCCAGATGCTTTTGAGATGTAAGGGTGCAATCCCCAGGAGGGAGGCAAATTTGATGAAATGCCTAGACGACTGGGCAAACATTCTCTTCACTGGAGCAAGAGAGGGCTTTCCTGGGCAGCAGAGTGGAATACTGCCTATGGTCAGGCCACAAGCAGGGCCAGAGGCGCTCAGATCCCATCTAGAATTTTGAAGGTGCCAATGGAACAAACCCCTTAATTACTCCTGGATTATTTTGGAATGGAAAACTTTGATTGATGGACTGATCTCCCAAGAATTATGGGGAGAAAAATCAATAGGTTTCCAAACTGTGTTTTCTGGCTAATCACTTGTGATTTGATAAATGTTGATTTTTAAAGAGAAATGTCCCAGATGAAGTAAATGCCTAAAATGTAAACTGGGTACACACTGCAATGAAAGTACTGGCAGGATAATCAGATGTGTTTTTCCAAGAACGTACTTATGATGCAGCAAAAAGCCAGGCATGATGCTGACATGTTAGGAGACTCATGAGGACGCTTAGGGTGAGATGCGAAAGACACAGAACGTGATTGGCAAGAAAGCTGACATGGTTATAGACAGATGGTGGCCTCCACAGAGGTGCCAGTGTTATCTGGTTAGCTGGGGAAGCTGCCACATGACCCACTGGGGGGGGGTGGTGTTCAGGGTAAAAAAGTGCCGCTTGGTTACAGGCCATTAGGAGAAGGTGCTCATGATCAGGATAAAGGTAGGTGGAAAAATAGGGCAAGACCAGGCAGAGGATGACATCAGGGGTAACCTCACTGCATGACTTAACGTACAGCATGCGTTGAAGGGCTTGGAAAACGCATGCGTGGGGTGTCATTGGGCAGGAGAATGTTAAAACCCACCACGTGGGTGTGCGTTAGTATTGTGCATCTGAGGTTATCAAGAGGGGCTGGGAGAGTGCGAGGGAAGCATAACTGGAAAAAAGAGAAAAATAAGAGGCCAAGGTAAGTGTGATATTAGGAAAAAGTTCCCAACACTCCAGATGCCTTCATTGTATCAGAAAATAAGTCAGTCAAGAAAAGTACTATGAAAATAGTGATTGGAATCACTTCCAATGGGCGGATATAGGCTCGTAACACGTTTGGTGGATCTTTGTTCTAAGAACAGCTGTAAAAGATGTCCAGGCACAGGTATTTTTAAGCAGTCCAAATTTCAGAGGGATGCCAGTGGCCTTACTGACTGTAAGAAATGTCCTTAGCCAGGTACATAATCGTGTGTATGTGTGTGCGTGATTCATAGATGGCAAGCTGTAGAAGAGACAGGTGCTGAGGACTTCATATGTACACAGATACCTGAGGCCATTTAGTAATTCGGCACACATCTCACCCTGGGTTCCCTAAACCCCTGGAGTGGGACAGTGGTTCTCTGCTCAAGTGATCCCCATTAGTTATTCTCACGCAAAGTGAATGGAGACATCATGCATGTTCTGGGTGGCCTTGAACTAGGGACATTGGCAACATTTTCCCCACCCCCACATGTTTAAAAATTCCCCCCGACATTCAACAAGAGTGCATTTCCTTCCCATCTCTGCCATCTGTGTGTCCCCAAGAGGCAATACTGGTCCAGCTGAGAGTAACCCATATGCCCTTGGCTCCCCACGAGGCAGACCTCTGCTCCTCGCTGGAGGCCTGGAGATGCCACCAGCTTTTGCCCATGTCACATCTTCTCACTAATCAATCCCCCGTGCAAGGACCACCAACCTCTGAGGAGGACTGGAAGTGACTCCTTTCAGGGCCCCTCAATGCTTCTCCTTAAATTGGCCAGAAGGGGTCACTGCTGTTGAATGACACAGGTCTCCATCCCTCCCAGGGTTGAGGCTGCAGTTCGGGATCGCTCCTAGCCCCTGCTCATGGAGTGAGAAGCAGAATCCAAGGATTAAACCCTAGTCCTCGCCAGACACGCCCACTGCTGCCACGACAGCCACGCGGACCACGGCTGTGGTCGTGGTGACACATCAAATCTGTTTATGACTTTGGACGAGGTAGCCACGTCTGCAGATCCCGTTTCTACTTAAGCAGTCAAACTGGTGGTAATTCGGTGGACAGGGTAACTAGATGTGGTCACCACTAGCTGAGGCTTATCCTTTAACATCTGTTCGATTAGAGTGCGCATGGAAGTTAGCACCTTTTCCTAACCTGGTTGCCTTCTCTGCCTCTCTTGACCATCTGTAAGTTTTACATAATTAAAAAATCTTTAATTGCAGAGTGTGGAGATAGTGCTGAAATTCTATCCTCACTTTCCAGCACGTGCCTTGTTCTCACAAAGTCCAAAGGGTTTCAACTTATTAAAAATCCTCTCGACACTGGTATCTTCCACTAAGATCCAGTTGTTGGAGTGGAGGTCAGGGGCAGGATGGAGCAAAATGAACTGGGAGCTCTTTAAAATAAAACGGAAATGATTCTGACCAGGCCAGGTGTGTCAAAATCCACACGTATGCTGCTGTTCTACACCTGTGACAGACATCGCTGATGGGTGGCCCACCAAACCTCGCCCAGGCCCCGGAATCCTTCTCGATCCTGTACCCTGGGAGCTGACACCACCAGGGGGCTGAGCTGGCAGGAAAGAGGGAACCTCTTTGCTGTCCCTTGGTTAGATGTTGAGCTCCTTAATTATTTAATTTTAATCTTGGTATTGCCAATACCTAGTATAGAGTGGGGCACATAGTAAGAGCTCAGAAATCACTGGTCGAACTGATCTGAATTCTTGCGGCCACTGTGCCTTTAAGTAGCTACGTCAGAGTCCCAGAATTCTCTGGAATGCACTTTTCCCATTTCTTAGATGAAACTAACAAATGTTAGTTTCTAAAACTCCAGGATTAGGTGAATAAATTAACTACTTATGTGGACTTCAGGGGGGATTTATTTATACCAGGCATTTTCTCTATGCGTTTTCCAATGTAACCTGGAGTGAGAATAACTTATGGGTACCTTAATAAAAAGACTCAATTCAGTTTTTCTCCTCTGATATTTCTCCCCCTGACTCTTCAGGGATGATAGCCCAGTTAAACCCCAGAGGTGACTCTGGCATTACTTAAGGACTGTAAATCCTAGGGGTCTTAAAATGAAAGTGGTACCTTCCCTACAGGCTGGCCCCTGGATCCGCCACCCCTTCCTTCCAATGAGTGCAAACCACACCCTCTGCCTGGGAAGGACGGCAGAGGCCCCGAGGCCCAGTGATCTCAGGCGCCGAGGGGGTTGCTGTTGGCCAAAGAGGACTGACCGGTGGGAGGTGAGTAAGGATGGGTGGGGACGGGGTTGAAAGAGACATTTAGAAGTGGAGAATCGCCATGAAAGAAAGGTCTCCTCTCTCATGGAGAGAGAGGGGGCAGAATCAGAACACGAGGGGTGACAGCAGACCAGGAGGGAAGGAGTGAGAGAGGGAAAGGTGCGCCCGCGGTGGCTGAGGGAGGCGATAAATAGGGCGCGTTGCCGAAGACACGGTACCCAGAGGATCTCCACAAAGTGCTGGAGATCCACTGACAGTGTCGGGACTCAAGTGACAGCTGAACACCTGCTGAAGGCAACGTGACAAAGGCGGCAGAGAAGGACAGCCCACACGTAATCGTGGTGCGGAGAAGGGACAACAGATGCTTAAAGGAACATAAACAATTTAAAAGCGATAAATGATCTAATACTAGGCTGAGGAATTCGGAAGAAATTAGGCAGAAGGGACAGAACTGGGAAAGAAATTACAGAGGATGGAGAAGGTTACCGTACAGTCTGCACTATTTGGGAACACCCCTCAGCTGTCAGCTTTGGAGTTCAAAGACGCCCCCTTCCGAAGGGCCCATTTCCTTTGTCAAGACCCAGAAATGAAAGAGAGGGGTCCAGAGGTCAAGAGAGTGGAGATCTAACCAGGGCTGACCCCCCTTAAGCTGGGGAAGTGGGCAAAGTGAAATTCACTAAGCTGCACTTTCAGTGGCCTAGTTAATTACAAAGGTCTCAAAATAAGAGGGGCACCCACGTCAGGGAGGCCCAGCCAAATTACAGTAAGAAGCCTGGGCGCCAGGGGCTGATTTCCAGGGGAGCACAGGTCTCACTGATGGTGCCGAGAGCCCCTTATATGCCACGAGGCACGCCGCTAAGTGATATTTTAATTAAACCTTAAGTGACATATCTCCTGTCTGTGACTCTGATGGCTTTTTAATTCAGGTCCCACTGCAGCACAGACTCGTAATGCTCCTTTCCAATTCCCAGTCCGTGGGGGAAGGTTTCCATGGCAGAGTTCCTCCCCACCCCCCACCC